GTTAAACTCTATTTTTGGCAAACAAAGGGGTTTACTATTAAAATTAAAACATGGAAGAAATAGCGTATTGTGTGATTATTCTTTTAAATAGTAGTAGTAGTAGTAGTAGTAGTAGTTAGTGGTCGACCGAAATTGTTTTTTTGACTGCCGATATCTTGGAAAGCAGGGTGGCTGATGGCAGATATAAAGCCCATATGATTTTATTTATTTTTAAATAAGGTTTAAGAAATAAATATTTAATAAAAAATATAATAAAAAAGGAAGTAAACACTGTAACCAACAGGGCACTCAGTATTCTGGGAAGTTTGTGTGCATTGGGATTTGGGAATCATATTTTTTCCAAATAAAGCCAAGGTAACACTCATTTTACATACAGCACACAGTGGAAATGACATGAATATGGCAGTGGGCAAATGCATAAAGCGCAGCATAATTTGAAATCACAATTTTAAAGTTTGTCGATCGTGCATCTCTAGTGAAGCTGAACTCTCCACCTGTCCGCATTACATTCGCACGGATCGACCGTCACGCAGAGAACACGCGATCATGCAGGATACACATGCACACTTCACAAGATATCACAAATGGATCCAACTAAGTTTGCAAGCTTTGTGAAATTAAATGTTCATTAGTCATTCAAAGATTTGTTTGAATGAAATAAATGCGTATTTGCTAAATGCTGAGGGCAAACAAGAAAGTATTATAATGTTTGCCTTTCTATTACTAATAATATAAAAGCAATCGTTATAATACGTTTTGTATACATTTTAATTCCTTTGTTTAACCAGTCATAAATACATGCAGCCACATAAACACAGGAAATCTATCTCTATAGGTGCCTCATGGATAACGGAGGTAATTTCAGGACACTCCAGGGCTTGACGCTTACCTTTTTCCCAAGGAGCACATGTGCTCCCAAGTTGAAAAATATTTTTCATGTGCTCTTAAGTTGAAAAATTTAGGAGCACATTAAAAATATTTAGGGGCGCAATGCATATTTTTCAAATAATGTGTTTTATCTTAAGGGGATATAAGGAGACATTTACTAACACAATTATATAATTTATCAGAATACAGAAAGTACACAAGGTTTTTAAATAATTTTGCTTCAGACTCTATTTAATAGGCTAATTATGTAATTATTTATAGTCATATTAATTTCTATGTACATACAGGTGCATCAGCATCTATTGTACATATACAATAGTCTTTGAAGCTTTTATCATGGTATATGGTTTTATCGCAATATATAATTTAGTAAGTAAAAAAAAGTGTTGTCCTCCTGTTAAATAATTTTATTAAAGATATTTTACTAAAGAAAGACTTTATTTAAAAAATACACAAATATAAAATAAACAAGTGTTTCAAGATTAAAGTGAACGAAAGAACATTAGGTAACACCTTACAATAAAGTCCCATTAGTTAACTTTAGTTAAAGCAGGTTAACATTAACTAAAAATGTACAATAGCTAACTGTTGCAGTTATTTATATTATTTAAGGTTGATTAATAAAAATACAACTATTTATTGTTAGTTCTTGTTAGCTCCATTAGAAAATATTAGCAGGCACAACTTAATTTTATGTATTATTAAAAGTTAAAATGAACATGAACTAAGATTAATAAATGCAGTCATTGTTATTTCATGTGAACTAATGTAGTTAACTAATGTTAATGAAACCTGTTAAGTGTTACGGAACAATAATAACAAATCAGTCAATATATAGGTAGGCCATCTTTTAGGTTAAAATAAAATAAAAAAGCTTAAGTTTGAAAATAAATAGCTTAAGTCTTTAAGTGTTAATTAGTTGGTGCTATGGTTTAGACTAAAGCGAATATAAATATCTAAATGACTGTTTGAAACAAAGTAGCAGCTGCTTTGTTTACAGGGTTACCGGGATAACGGCTGCATTTCTGCCTCCGTCAGCGCCCTTTAGTGCCGAATGTGCACTTACATTCACCGCGTCTCCTTCACTCGTTCCGCCTTCTCATCTGTGCTATTTACATTAAATCGTCGCCTTTTTAAAGTTCAATAATCATATGAGGCTTTATCGCTGTTTTTCCATAAATAAATTGAAGAAATTAATACATTTGTTATAGGCTACTGTGTAAGTTAGGATGTTTAATAAATTTTATTCGCACTCATGCTCCTAAATACATTTTCCAGTTTGCGCACATTTATTTTTAGTCTCAAATGCGAGTGAAATGCTCACACTGTCGAGCCCAAGTCTCAGGTAACAACAGCACAGGCAAAAAAAAAAAGGCATAATTTCTCAACATTAAGGCCTGTTCACACCAAGAACGATAACTATAAAGGTAATAATAACAATATCTGTATTAGCATCCATGTCAACGCACAATAACATTGTTTATTATAAGTGTGCGCTGCAGTTTTCAGCTTTAAAAATGCTCAAGCTCTTTAAAGCAGGATTTATTCTGACTGGCAATTAGGGGTGTGCCATATCATACCATCCACGATACCACCGGTATACATTTTTACATGATAAAAAAAGTGTCATATCGCGATATCAATGATATAGCGTCAATGATGACGTATTTACTAGGATTTACTCTGACCGTGGTAGTTACCTTGCTGTATATGGGAGGGTCAGAGAGCCCTCAGATTTAATCAAAATATCTTAAATTGTGTTCCGAAGATGAACGAAGGTCTTACGGGTTTGGAAAAACAAGAGGGTGAGTAATTAATGACAGAATTTTTGGGTGAACTAACCCTTTAACTTCATATCTATTATCATATCTATAATCAAACTTCACCAAACTTGAATTATTAGTACCAATAAAATTAGATAGATAGATAGATAGATAGAAATTTTATGAGCTACCACTGAATTTAAAGTTTACTCTACCGGTTCTACCACTATTACTGGTTTTGAATTACATATCAACTGTATCTTATATTAAAGCTTTTGCGGCGAGTATGTCAGTGTTTAGATGACAGCATTACTCAGTTGACCCTATTACCTAAAAAATTCCAAACCAAAATAAGCGGATATCCGAAGAGCATTGCTCAGATGTTAGAAAAACACCGATCATGAAAGGATTTTAAAATAGAAAAGAGAAAGAAAGAACAGATTCTCAGGACTTTTCAACGTGCCTTTAAGTTCCCTTCATTTGCCCCCTCATGTCCCTCTCTCTCTTTTTTGTTCTGTTTTATCCCCACCCATTGAGAGCAATGTGTATGTGAAAGAATGTCATCGTGAGACACACAGACTGCTCTCTACTGCCGTTTCCCATCTGAAAATCATGTCCAACTGTGTTGTGTCCAAATTCACAGGCTTATTTGACTGACTTACTGAATGGCACAAGCTGGGCAGTTGTCATATGTCTATGAGTAAGAAGTATTTCTCATTTTCACATTTAACCTAAATTACTTAAACACTATTTTAATGTGGCTTTTTAACTAAAGACTTTCTAAAACACAATTTACATTTAGCCTACCTGTGAGATGAACTTCTTATGCACACCAGTCAAGCAAACAAGATAACTTTAGACCCATAGCTCCCTCTAGTGTTTTAGGCACGTTCATTAAGCGTTTCCGTCACACGTTATTTTTTAGCAGTGTTTATTACTATTGCAAATTGAATTAAGCATTTATAAATATGCAACCTCTTGCTACAAACAAACCTCAAACTTTCAGTTGAGGAGAGTTGCTCTATTCCTTTTCTAAATGATAAGACTACATACTCAGACTATCTACACCAGAGGAACCTGAGCCATATGTACAGCTATATCTAGCCCCGCCACTTTTTAACATTGTGCTCATTGTCTTGTCTTCCGGTTTGTATTTCCACAGCGTCAGGTAAGGTCGTACTAATTTATGAATGAACCACTCGTTTTAAAATCGTCCTGGACTGTTGACATTTGTTATGACATTCGCTTCAAACTTTAGAATGCTCATGATAACTTTCGTTAACTCCACAATAAGTAAATCCATTTCACCAGCTAATTACCCAGACAGCAGCATAGTGTTGGCCCAGATCCAACACTATGTTGGATCTGGGCCAACATAGCCAACACCCCTGCTATATAGCATCACTGCTGAAGAGTATACTCTTCAGCAGTGATGCTATATAGCAGCAGGGGTGTCAAATTCAGTTCCTGGAGGGCCAAAGCCCTGCAGAGTTTAGTTCCAACCCTGCTTGATTAGTTGACTCAGATTTAATTAGGGTTGAATCTAAACTCTGCAGGACTCCAGCCCTCCAGGAATTGAGTTTGACACCCCTGCTATAGACAAAATTCTAAAGATGGCTGCACACTTGTTTCTCTGGCGCATTAGGTCTATAGGGGACAAAATATTGACAGTAATCAACCACCTCAACCGCATAGCAATGCACTACAATGACTCAGAAAAGGCGACCTGACAAAATGATTCTCAATTCTTAACAGCTAGTTTCGTTGGGTCAGGTGATGCAAACATCTAGCTAAACTGAAGACCTACTACAACCGAATTACTGAAAATGTTAAAGACCATCATTCCATCTTATTTATTTGCTTTAACGTTCACTTTGTAGACTGTTACTCAGCAATTGTTAAGTCAAATTTATTCATAATCAACCGCTTTTTTTATTTTTTATAATAGATTAAATTAAATATTTATAACAGAACAAATTTAATAACATTATGCAAACAAAGTTTTTAACACTACAAATCCGACCAAAGAGATCCAGGCTGAGGTATAATTGTTTGTTCACTGAAATATTCTACTGGAAAACTAAACTGATAAAAACACATTTTTAAATTATAAACTATAATTTAACATCATGAAAACGTCATGTTAACAATATGCTCATGAATTCAGGGTAGCATTTCTTCAACATATAATTTATATCGTAAAATGTGGATTTGAACAGTGTTTTATGTTGTGTGTGTTTTTGTGCATTTAGCAGTTGTGCAGCTTATAGTTCATTTTGTCCACATTAAATGTTGAGTTTGTTCAACTTGTACATATCTGTCCGATTACCACACAGCCACAGCTGCTCCTCAGTGAATCTCCTGTATGGTGTACACACCATTAGCATCACTGGCACTTTTCCTTTTCTTGTTCTGTACAGTGAGTTTGAGGCAGTCAATGTGTCTGAACTCTGCTGCAAAAATCGCAAAGAGTGCAAAAAAACAGATGACCAGAGCCCACTCACATATGGCAGCTTCAGAGCGAAACCCTGTGTTATAGAGAACAAACACTGAGAAGACAGAAGGTTACGGACAACAAAATTACCACTTATAATAATATGAAGTGAAAATGCATTAATTTCATAACTCATATCCGTTATTATGACATTTTATCAGCTCTTAGAGCTGAAGGATACTGCAGATGACCAAACAAGTACACTGGCTGCAGAGGATGACGCGCACTGGCACCACCCACTTGCGGTCATGTGACGGCAGGCTGTCGTACGAAAGCCACGCCTGGACCCAGAAATAAGCCAAACCCAGGAAGAAGGCTAAGAGCGCTCCGAGCAGATGAACTCCCATCCCTACGGATTGCTAATAATGCAAAAGCAACCACAAATAAGCACATCACAATTTGCAAGTAATCAAGTAACTTCGGTTTGTTTGTAGGCTATATACTGTACCTGGAAGTTTCCTAGAATGGAAATCTCAGTGCTAGAGATGAAGCCAAGCACCAAACTGGCTGTGTTTAAATGAGACCCAGAACCCAAATCACGGACCTGCTGAAATCTGATTGTGACAATCCACAAAGCTACGGAAAGAGAAAGAGGTCATGCAGAAGGTACAATACAGGGGGCCGATTTTACAATTAAGATAAGAGGACTCACCCAACACACAGCATATGTTGCAGATCTGAGAAAACAGGCAGCTCTGGGGGTTGTATGAGCCACATGTGCTGGAGGAAACAATATTCATGGATTTGCAATGTCATATTTTCAAATTCACATCCATTTATGCGTTTCTGGCTCTGGAATGTCTTACAAACACACAGGTGCTTTTGTTAAAATCATCAGTAAACACTTCTTGAGGAAGCTTAGATCCATTCATATTAGCAAGCTGCTTCTTTATCTTTTTTAATCAGGGAATTTTAGCTAGTGTCCACTTATGATGTGCTCTGTTGGGAAGCATCTAGGGGTGTGAATCTGTGGATAGACAGTGATTTTTTTTTTTTTAATTTAGAACAATTCATTCTGTATAAAAATGAGATTCAATTTGATTGAGTTTTGGTTCATGGTTATGGATAGGACAGAATTTTGTAATGCATAAATACCTGACGAAAGGTCATTTTTAGCTCAACAATTACCATGTTGTTAAAAAAAAATAATTGAACACACTGTCACACACAGCCTTATTTTCATTCCTGTCCAAAAATATACATGGCGCTACCCTAAGGTCTATTTTAAGGTACATACCTGATGAAAGGGAATTCTTCAGTTATATTAACAGTGCTATTGGACACTGCTATGGCATACCTGCACACAAACGAATGCAGAAAGAGTCAAATAAATAAAAACCAAAGAAGATATTAAAAAGAGTAAGAGAAACATGAAGTAATACTCACACAGCCCACATCCCAATAATCCCAAACACTGCCAGGGTGACAGGAAGTAATGCCCACGTCCACATGACGGACCAATCAGATCACCTGCAGAAAGACCAAGTGTCTCTTTACACATAAACGCACATTTATTAGCATGTATAAATTTGACTGTGACCTAACAAACAATTCAGTGACCGAACAGTTCCCTATAAAGTCTTCACAGGATATTCAATCATCTTAAGTGAGCCAGTTTGAAATGCAATAAGGCAAAGTGTCAAGACACAGAGATCAAGACATGAATTGGTTCATTAATAATAATTAATACTTCAAATAACACATTTTAGATTATTACAAATGATGTATTGTATGCATTTATATATGAAGCAATAATGTATTATGGATTATACAGAGGGAACCTATGAATCAGAACTCAAGTCTAGATTAACAGAGTTGGCAAGTATCTGCTTAGATTTTTACAACCCCACCAATATAAGTTATCACAGACCCATTGTGTTTGAGGGAGTGTCGCATTTTTCTCCACACACCTTTCCTGGTTATAGTGGTGTTGAAAGTCAACATGTATCTTATTCTTTACTAAAGAACAGAAAATGAAAAGGAGTCTTCTTACTTTTCTGACTGTTCAAATTCCCTTTCACCGTTTTTCAAGCTGAACATCTGCCAGTTTTCCTTCAAATGGCAAAGACTACTGGTATGCAGATATTGAGATATGGTTTACTGCTTCACTGGGAATTAATATTACTGTCCATTTCCCATGTATTATTTTCTCAGGCCAGCAGAGTAGAATGACATTCCCTTTTATTACTAAGGTTCCTCGTTTCATTACTCTTGTGGAAATGTTCCTACCATTAAAGGACATGTTTAAAATCCTGTAAAACTGTTTTCATGATAATTATTATAAAATAATTTAAATTCAGCACGCAAATGCAAAGGGTTTTGACTAAGACTAGACACCAAAGGAGTAGACACCAGCACTGAGATGTCAAACCCACAACCACTACTGCATGTCAAAAGATCTAATCATCCATTTGGGGCTCTCTGGAGCACAGATACATTTCTATGAGCTCACTAAACTGATTAAAAATGTCCGTATATATAAACATTAGACATACAAAATATGATAGAGAGATTAAAGACAACAGAAACATCACATTTGACACTGAAGTGATTTTAGCATGCTAGCTGTGGATAGTGTGATTACAGCAAAAAACATCATTTCAAAACCGGTTTACAAAGTATTCAATTTAAGAAAATAAACATAAGATGATAATGGAAAGAAATCTTAACTTTGAGGAAAGATCTTTAGGCAATAAAACAAGTAAAAACACGGAAAATGGGTTTAAAAGTTTAGGGTAACAAAAAAAAATATTCAGAAAAGATGCGTTAAATTTAAAAGTTCAAATAAAAGCCTTTTTTTATTTCTATTCATTAAAATCATTTAAAGGGGTCATATGATGTTGCTAAAAAGAACATTATTTTGTGTATTTGGTGTAATGAAATGTGTGAAATGTGTGCTTAAGGTTAAAAAAACACATTATTTTTCACATACTGTACATTATTCGGCTTGAGTGAGCGGCGGCGGGTGGGCTTGAGAATGGCGCGGCCGGCGGATTAGACGAAGGAGCGTCCAGCGGACTTGCGGCAACCCCATGTGACGACCCCGGGCTGGACTCCGCTTCGTCCACGGTGAAAGCCGATCCGGCGATCCACA